GCTGAGGCTGGCTTTGAACTTGTGATCCTCCTGCCCCAGTCTCCTGAGCCCCTGGGATGACAGGTGTGCATCATCATTGCCCGGCGGGCAGCAGTTTTAACTTCCCTGGTATTTCCCTCTGCGTTTGGCAAAGCCTTTCTCTGGTTTTCTGTATAACTCTTGTTCTGAGTAACTCTTGCTGAACAAGCAGCACTTGAAGGGTAAGGTCAGAAGACAATTTTGTTCCTTCTTTTGATGCTTTTTGAAACCTCCTCTGAGGGGTTGGCTCTTCTTTTTCTCTTGGGTGGGAAGTTTTAGCAGAAGTCATCGACTTTTAAGAAATGTATTCTCTGGTCACTTCTGATTAATGACCAATCTCATTGCACTGATTAGAAGGTTGATTTTATTGGGTGTTGGATCTCCTTTTCCCCACCTGGGACCGCTGCAGGCAGGAAACCTCCACGGGAAAAGGGCGCCCTTTCTGCTGCTTGGGGTCTCTATAATCCTTCGCTCGGTCCCCTGGGGGCCACTGGTTCTCTGGGATAAGACCTGAACAGGGTGAGAGAGAAGGATCCAAGATGTGCTGAATGGACCTGGGGCCTCTGGGCTGGGCAGGTGCTCACAGTGGACCTTTTCTTTTGAAGGATGTAATCTTCAGGGTAGCTCCCCCCTCCCACTCCTGTCCCAGGCCTGGCGGGGGTTTTGATTGGTTCTTTATCACTGGCCGACGTGTCTGCTTCGTAGCTGTGTCCTGCAGTGCCTGGGCCTTCAGAGGTTCTTCTCCAGCTTCTCGGGACCGGGACTGACTCGTCTGTGGGGGTCCCTTGGACAGGATTTTTTAAACATGGTGGGAAGGCTCTTCTTCCTCCCCTACAGCCCATATGTGGACCCTGGGGACCAGAAATGGTTTCCCTTTTCATCCCTCATCAATCACCACTAGAGATTTTTCCCCAAACAGTTATGCTCATTCCTTATGTACAGGGAGGAGGCCCAGGACGCCCTCAGGATGCGGTTTGGTGTCGACTCTATTTGGCTTTCCTGCAGTTCCCTGAGTCTCCTTTTTCCTCCTCTCTTTTCTGTCTTCTATGGCCTAAATGGCCTAGTGCTTCTCTCCCCTCGTCTGCTCTCCTTCCTGAGCTCTTCTTCCTCTGCCGAAGCCTTTCAACTTCTGTGGGTTCCGTGCTCCTTACCCACGTGTTGCTGACCTCATTCTCCACCCTGCAGCAACTATCGCCTTTATACCCAAGAACTCCAAAGCCCATACCCTTCCTTGTCCTCTGGGTTCAAATGTTAACGTCCACTGGATGTACATGGGTATCCTCAACCCGTTTAACAAAATCAGAACTCATCATTTTCAGTGTCTTTCTAACAGGATCCTTTTGTGAGCCCCAACTCTGTGGATAGCGTGCATCTCCATTCGCTAAGCCGTCTAAACCAGAAACCTGGGATTATTGCAGCTTCCTGCCTCCCACTCAGCCCCTCACTAAGTATTCCATCTAGTTTTGCCAATTTTAC